TCCTGAGTACTGAGCATTGATTGATTCTGCTCAGCCTTTCTAGAAGAAAGCTGCTTAAGAGGAATCATATTTATCTCCACTGCAAGTCATATATTAAATACGCATTTTCAATGGTTTCCTATTCAACACTTTGAGTCCATTCTATTAAAGGCTTAAGACACAGCTACAGACACTCGGGGTTGGGCGATATAGTTGTAGGAAGACTTTGCCATTATAGAAAGTGCAGCTTGAGAAGGCTCAGTAGCCTGAGTGTGAGGACTGGATCAATGAAAAAACGGAAGCCACGGGCTAGGAGTTAAGAGTGGACTGGAGATCGCCACTGGTAAACTGGGAGACACAGTGGAAGGATTGTTAGACACACATACGTGGGCTTGAGTCCAGGCCCTGCCACTTCCTAGCTGTGCTAACCATGGACAGGTTAGGCAACCTCCCCGTGCCCGTTGCCTCATCTGTAAAATGATAAGAAGAAGCTACCTCATAAAACTGTGGTGAGGCTCCTGTGAAATAATCCATGCAAAGCCTCTTGCACTGCGCCTGCCATTGGGTAGGCACTGGACAAATAGCACCTCTTACTATCTGCCCTAAGTGTCCAAGATGTACCTACTACCTCCCAGCAGATGGCCACTGCGGCCACCACACCCTTCCCCTCTGAGGTTTGTCCGAATTTCCAGTTTGGAGGGAAATATCCTCCCCCCCCCCCCGAAACCAGTGGTGGTGGTCTTTTCTTCCTTTCCTCAAAAGCTCACTGTCCCCACTGTGGTGAGCTCAGGCCAACACGATCAGTCCCCAGACCACCCCAGAAAGCCAGGGAGTCCCTAAAAAGAGAGGGCACAGAGAACAAGGCCACCCTGGTTCTCCAAGCAAAGGCGAGGTGGGGAAGGGGTGGGGGGTGGGTGTGAAGGGTTTTAGCATGGGGGGGGGGGCGGGAGGGGGGTGGAGACTGCTGGGGTAGGAATTCCAGAGCTGGCAAAGCTTTGAGAAATTACCAGAGCCTGAGGTAAGCCTGTAACGTAGGAGGGAAGAAAAGTGCAGATTTGGGGAAAGAAAGGAAAATGTGAGTAGAGTTGGCAAGACATGAGTCCAGAATGAAACCTCACTCTTCCCCCTGCATCACAGCCGGGCTGCAGCAGATGGGAGGGAAGAGTCAGAAATGAGAGGCGAAGGAACTCAAAACCAGATCCCTGCCTCCACTGTGTGCACCATTGGCTGAATCTGACAGGTAGTTCCGGGATGGACAGGAAGAACCAGCTCAGGGCTGTGAAGCTTCAAAGTCACAGTACAGTGCCGTGGTCGTGGCAGTTTTGATGCAAATGTGTTAGTCGTGGTGAGTCCACCGAGTGTTTATATGACATGTGAACTCAGTTTTAAAAAAATTTACCGCTTAATAGAAAAAAAAAAAAAAAGGTGACAAATCCGAGACCTATTGTGGCTGTGGTTTCTGAACGTTCTTCCTGCTGGTGTCAGGTCTAAGGGAAAAATATAGCCAAGTGGGAAAAAAAGTGAGCAGGATTCCAGTTCTTTTTTGCTCACTGGGGAACGTATGCTTTCCAAACACAGGAGGAGAGGAGCTGCCTGGGTTCTTTTCCAGATGAGTCTGGGTTGGCTCCAGAGGAATAGACTCATTCTACCCAAGCTGGCAGTCTTTACTTCCAGTATTTTTCGGAGAGATATACAGTTTCGTGGGGGCTTCTCAGGGAGCTGCTCTAGCTGCAAGGAAACTTCCAAGGGGGGGGGGGCCCTGACGTCTCATAATCAGCATAGAATCATTGGAGGGCAGGGCTCCTTCCCTGCCTCTTTCTCCCCAATCTGCCAGGCTCAGAGTGGGTGGCCAAGAAGTTTGAGTGACTCCGCCTTTGGAATTAATGAATGCATGCTAAACTTCACGGTGGTCTATCAAAGAGAGTCCTGAGAAAGAAGGGTTATCTATAGATTAAAAGAGACTTAAAAGGTATAACCATGCCGTGTGTGAACCTTGTTTGGACTTTCTTTAAATGTTGATTTTTGAGAGAGAGAGAGAGAGCTCATCACGAGTGAGGGAGGGGCAGAGAGAGAGAGGGAGACAGAGGATCCAAAGCAAGCTCCGTGCTGAGAATGCAGAGCCCCACGTGGGGCTCAAACTCACGTACCTCACAAACCATGAGAGCGTGACCTGAGCCAACGTCAGATGCTTACCCGACTGAGCCACCCAGGTGCCCCCCCCACCCCCGCCTTGTTTGGATTTTTATTCAAACGTAAAAAATAAGACAGTTGAGAAAACTGAACACTGATGAGGTAGCAGATCATTTTATTTGCCCTGCACCATGTTTTTCAAAACTTTGAATGCCGTCATCTAAGAGATTTTACATTAAAATCCAGATTTCCAGGCACGCCTGGATGGCTCAGTCAGTTAGGCATCTGACTCTCATCCCTCTGAGCTCTTGGAACACACTTTAATTACTCACCCAGCTCCCAGCAAACCCTGCCTGCGTTTGATTTTTGGTAAACCTCCTCCCCCCCCACCCTCCACACCTGGGCGGGATTAAGGCCTTTAAAGGCTCTACAATGCTCGAAAGATTAGGGAGGGTTCTTCCCCAGTATGTGATTTCAAATCAAATTTTGTTTTTATTCAAAGTGGTGGTGTTTACAAGACAGCTGAAGACACACATTCTAGATTTTAAAAATTCTCCCGTTTTTGTATTTTGAAAAGTTTCACACCCGCAGAAGAATTGAAAGAACAATAAACCAAACATCTATAGGCCCATCTAGAGTCACCAATTTTTAACATTTTGTGATGTTTGCTGTTTTTTTTTTTTTCCTCTGAACTGCTTGACAGGAAGTTTCAGACATTATAATGATTTTTCCCTAAATTCTGCAGCATTTATTTTTTCTGAAAAAGGACATTTTCCTATGTGACCACAATATCGTTCTCACGCCCATGAAACCTGACCTTGATACAATATTATCCAATACACGTTCATATTCAAATGTATCCAGTTGCCCAGTAATGAATGCTCTTTAAAGTTATTTTTTAAAATCTTGTTTCTAATCAAGGACCTTGTTTCACATTGTGTTTCACATTTGCTCTCTGTAGTCTCCTCTGATCTGGAACACTTCCCTGATGTTTGTCTTTAATCTTTCCTGACATTATTAACATTTTGAAGCATCCAGCCCGTTGTTTCGTAGAGTATATCCACAGTCTGGATTTATCTGAATGTTTCCTGATGGTTAGATGGGTTTCAATATCTAATAATGGGTTCAACATTTTGAACATTTTTGCAAGAAACTACAAAGGTGGTATTGCATTTTTCTAGATTGTCTGTCTGTGAAGTTCTAGGTGAAGTCCTCAAAGCTGAATTTGTGTGAATGTGCCTTGCTCGTGCCTTAATCACATGCGTGTCTTACTAATAATCATGGCTACCATCATGTGCGTCATGCAAAACATTGGTCTGCATATACGGAGGAGCATGGCTTTGGGTACTTTATAATCCCAAACTTCCCCCACCCCACCCCACCCCCGACTCCCACTGCACCCCCACCTATTCCCCTACCAGTATTTTCTTCTCCATATCCAGTGTTAAGCTACAACCTCACCGCCACTTATTGTCCATTCTTTAAATTTGCTAAATCTGTAGGTGTAACATGATATCTTGCAGTTTTTGTTTGTATTCTCCTGACTGCTAGAGTTTGAGCATCTTATGTTTATTGATCACTTGTGATTTTTCTCCTGTGAAAGACCTGCTTATGCCTTTTGCTCACTTTGTGGAAGTTGTCTTTCTCTTATATATTTTTAGATCTTTATGCATTCTTGATGCTAATTTATGAACTATATGTATATCTATAAATCTCCACTCTCATGAAACAGTATCGCTGAAGACTAAGCACATGGAGACTGGTCAGACATTTTGGGTTCAAATTCCAGTTCTGTTAGTAACTGTGACTGTGAATAATTGAATTTCTCTCTGCTTTCCTTTTCTTATCTATGAGATGGGAATGATAATGGTACCTACTTTATCGGGTAGTAGGGGGATTAAATGAATTAATATATGTAATGCAGTTAGAACAGTGCGTGGTACATAGTAAGAGTCAATAAATATTTGCTGTTATTAGCTTCTTCCATTTTATAGCTCCCATGTAATTTTGAGATACAGTGGGCTCATCAAAGTGCACATCTCACAAGTGATCTCCTGACCCCTACCTGTGGCCGCATCACAAACCCCTTCCCTACAACCATGTGCCACACCACACTAATCACAGGGGTGACTTGACCTCGTACAGGCAATCATGCAGGAAGTGATGCCTGCCCCTCAATGGTGTACGAGGTGAATTAAGTTTTTTCTTTGTGAATGGGAAAAACATTCCGCAATCATTTTTTCTTTTTTTTTTTTAATTTATTCTCAAGTTAGTTAGCATACAGTGTAGTCTTGGCTTCAGGAGGCGATCTTGAAGGGCCGCCTCCAAAACCTAGAGAGATTAATGTCAGGTTAAGTCCTCTCCTTCACTGTAAAGACCCACAAACACCCTAAAGACAATTCATGCAACTTCGAGACCTAACAGGAACCTCTCTTCCCAGCCTGCCTCTGGGCCTCTTTCCTCCACTTGGGCCTTTCTTTCTGTAGTGTTTCAAAGATTAGCAAACTCCGGACGCAAGCGCACCAATGAGGCACTCAGTATAATGCTCCCTAAAGGAACGAATGAATGAAGGAATGTTACTGCGTTGCTAGGTAGACTGGATGAAAGTAAAAAAAGAATGTTGGATGGCCCACCCGGCCAATGATTGGCTGGCCCACGCAACAGAGGAGAGGGCTTCTTTAGACAAGTAGGTCGCGGCTCAACAGGTCACGACCACGACGTGGTGCGTGGGGAGCGGCGCGGCAGAGTTTGCGGATCCGAGGTGGGCGCGGCGGCTCTTCTGGCCCCGCCCCGCCTCACCACGCCCCCTGGCGTCGCGGCCAAGGCAGGCGAGACGGCGACGTCGGAGACTGCGCACTGGGCCCCCAGCGCCGCCAGCGGTTCCCACCTCAGAGGCTCGGAAGATGGCGGAGCGTGCCGGCACCGGTGGCGGCACATCCCTCAGGGGATTGCGCGAACGGATGGGTGAGCGGCCTGGCGGCTCCGGGGGGAGTCCGGGCCCGTGCGGGAGGCGGGCTGCTCGCGGCCCCAAGGACCACTGGAGTGGCGCGCCGGTCGCCAAAAACTTTTCTCTGGGGTGGCCTCGCGCCGTCCGGTCCTCCCCTCACCCGCCCGGGAGTTCCCTAGGACGGGACGCGGAACCGTTGGGGGACGGGGGCGGGGTGAGGAGTCGGCCGGCCGGCACCGCTGACGGCCGAAGTCCCGTGGCCAGCGGCCCAACTGCCGCGGCTAACGGTCGAGCCCCGCGGGCGGGGCGCGAGGGAACTAACGGGCGCGGGCGGCGGGGGGTGGGGGGAGGCGCGCTGGGACCCCGGACCCCGCGGGCGGTCCCGGGCTCCGCCTGCCGTTGGGGGACGACGGACGCGCCGCGGCCCGGGATGTGCGAGCGCCGGCCGGGACCCCGCGCGCCGGGGCAGCCCTGAGCCGGGAGTTTTCCCTCTGGCCGCGGCGCTCGCGCTCCGATCGCCTCCCACGGTCGCAGTCCTCGCTTCTCCAGAGGTGCTTAATGTCCCGCTCCCTCCCTGTCAGGGTCCGGTGGGGACGGAGCCTTGGGGGGCTGTTGCTTTGAAAGTTGGGAAGAAACTTGCCTGTCTGCTCCTGATTTGCTTGCTGTAGCACATGACTTCGCCAAGATGTCACCTTCCGTGGGACATCTTGCCCGACCCTAGGCTGCAGCGAAGGGAAAATCAGCACTTCAGAGCGCTTTCTCCTAAATCGGTCCCGTCGCCAAAATGTCCCCCCACCCCCCGCGCCTAAAATCGCTAATTTTCTAAAATTTGGCAGCGCGTTGCTTAGCCCAGGAGGCTGCTTCCGCTAGCTGAGCGAAATGGTATTTCTTGCTCGTGGGAGGTTGCTTGCTGTTCTCAGGCCAGCTTCCTGTTAATACGAGCTTGAATAAAACCATCTTAATTGATTTTATTGAAATCCTTAGGGATATTTTCATTTGCATTTGAAAAATTAAATTACCTTCCTTCGGAATACTTTGAATCAACTCCCTAATGCATCAGTAGCAAGTACCCTTTCCTTGGGAAGTCAACCCCTTCTGTCTCTAGCTTATTCTGCTTCACCTAGAGAGTTTGCAGTAAGTTCGGATTGTTTCATTGCTTGTTGACACCTAAGGCTCTCTGCCATTGGTTTATTGCAGTGATTCAGATTAACCAGCATTCTGGATAAACCGCTCCCCCCCCCCCCAAAAAAAAGCATTTTTGGAAAGGATATTGAATGTTGTGAAGTATTTTAAATTTTTGAATGAGACAGTTGCTTGAATTCACAGTATATTTCAAACCAAAAACTAAGCCATGCAAAAAGGACTTAACCCAGAACCGCAGTTGACCTTGCTGCCCATTTCATATGAGGAATTGAAAATATCACATGTTACATGTTAGAGTTTCACAGGGTACCAGCTTAACTAGATTTGCCCTGATGGATTTCCTGAAAGGGACAAGGAGTCTTTGAAATGTTTTGCTACTTTGTGAAATGAAATGCTACTGTGACAGTTACTTTTTATTCTGTTACCCAAACAACACTGAATAGCGCTAAATCTGTTAATCTGGCCAATTTCATTTCCTGCTGGGAACCTGGCTCCCAAAATTAAAACATTGTACTAAACAAATAACTTCTTCAGGTGCAGGGTAGTAGTGGGTCCAGCACAGGGCCAGCAGCTGTGGGAGTGGTCAGGTATTGATTGAGCTGCTAGAACTGTCTAGTGCTAGACCCCCTAGTGCACTACATCCAGCAGGAGCCCATGTGGCAATTACTTTGTTTTATTCTCTTTTCCAAATAACAGTGAGTAACCCTAAATCTGTTAATCTGTAACAATTAGTTTCACAGTATGGTGGTTCTCTGCCACACTCAAAGCCTTTTTTATTAAAAAACCTTTCAATCATTTTTTACAATCTACCCCTTTGCTACCTAATAAAAATAGTAGTGTATGTGATCTAATATTTCTAATGAGTACAGAAGAAAGGGTTTGGGGGAAGAAGGATCATGGTGGGGAGGAGCTACAGATTTTACGTTGAATTCTGAGAGTGATATCAAGAGCAGCAACTGTGGCAGACAACTTAGAATTGCCGAATAAGTATTGGGATGAGTATTTTATCATTGGCATCTCATGGGATTAAGCATTTGGAAAATTATTACCATTCTTGAACTAGTTGTCACAGAAAAGTATTCTTCCTTTCTTGCATTTAGTTTGCCCTAGTGACACAGATCCTGTGTGTTTGGGGGGCAGGCAAAGAGAAGCTGGAACTTTCCACTATATTGAAGTTGGTAATGAGCTAAAACGCTTTATATCCAAAAGAGGCTTCAAAATTTCAATGACAACTTTAAAAAATCTATTAAGTCTAAAGCATTCTTTAACTTTGATATCCTTAGTAGTGGCTATTTTTGGTTCAGTGCATTCTGAGGCTTTTACTGGGCTTGATATCCAGGATGATGGAGTTTGTAAGTTTTCCCTTATAGGAGGAGAATGGTTTTCTAACCCCCCCCCCCAATTTATAAAAAATGTTTGTTTTTGAGGGACGGGTAAAGAGAGAGGGAGAGAGAGGATCCAAAGCGGGCACCAAGCTGACAGCCACAGAGCCCTGAGGTGGGACTCAAAACTCACCAATCCTGAGATTGTGAGCTGAGCCCAAGTGGGATGCTTAACCGACTGAGCCACCCGGGTGTCCCAAGAATGGTTTTCTTCTAATGTCTTTCACAAGTTTTTTGTAAATTCAGGCCTTTCTTAGCAAAGCATAATAGTGCTTTCTTTTACAAAAATAGTTCAGTGCTTTATTTTAAAATATTTCCATTGCTTATTTTCTTTTTTAGTTTTTAAGTTTATTTATTTTTAGAGAGAGAGCGACTGGGGAAGGGGCAGAGAGAGAGGGATAGAGAGACAGTCCCAAGCAGGCTCTGATGGGGGGCTCGAACTCATGAACCGTGAGATCATGACCTAGGCCTAAACCAAGAGTCAGATGCTTAATCAACTGAGCCACCCAAGTGCCCCACCATTGCTGTATTTTCTTTTTTTTTTCTTAAAAGTTTTTTAGCATTCATTTTTTTGAGAGACAGAGACAGCATGAGCAGGGGGAGGCAGAGAGAGAGAGACGGAGACACACCATTAAGTAAATGGTGAGGTAATATACATTATTATAGCAATTTTTAGTTAAGTACCATAAATATAGATTAAGGTTCATATTTCAGTTTTAATAAACTCTACACATTTTCTTAATCTCCAGGCAAAAGGTAACTTTTAACTTTAATTTGGGATTCAGAATTAGTACAGGACTTAAACTGCACCTTGCTGTAACCTTAAAATGAATGGTAAGTGAATTTCCTCATTCAACGGAGTTTAGTAAAACACTCTGTTAAGCTCAGACTAAAGCCTTTGTCCCATTGCCTGAACATTTTAAGTGGTTTCTAGAACCTGTCCTTTTGGTAAATGTATTTCTTGCTGGTAAGAATTTGGATATAAAGTTCTAAAAATCAGACGATATTATTTCCACATTGACCTTTATGGTTTAGTTCATTATTCCCACCACAGCTAATTCTGAAGTTACTACTGTTTAATGAGGTCTTTATGTCTGGTAAAATTGTATATTTTGAGAGAAATTGCCCTTATGGTCAGCTAAATTGTGCCAAAATATGGACTTTCTTTGTTATTTCTAAGCAGGAAAGCTGAATGTGCAGAACCAACTGTTGTTTTTTCTCTGCTCACATAGACATGTTACAAATAGGAGGGAGTGTATAGGAGGGTTTAATTAATTTATAGACTATATTTAAGAATTTTTCTTAATGCACTGTACTACTTAAATTCAGAGGATAACTTCTGGTACATAAAATTGCTAGTTGTTGAACTAGGAAGGAAGCTGAGAAGAATCTAATCTTCAAATTTACCTAAATCATGGATTATCTGAGCTGTTAGGTCTCTGGGGTAAAAAAAAAAAAAAATCCTTTTTCCCTTTTGAAATAGCACTATGACAGCAATTGTGACATCACTTTCAAGGTTACTCTGTAAAATGATTTCTGGATATCTTTCCTCAGTGGCAAGGAACATCTCAGAGTCCCTTCTTTCTATGAGGGCAATGACAGCCACTCTATTCCTTTAATTATTTTAACTGTCCATCCTCCACTGTTCTATTTTTTCCTGACATGTAGAAAACAATTGTACGCAGTATCGCCGCAGGGACATATTTCCTAGGCTTTTACAAGGGTAGAAGAGAGTTTTCAGTGTTAATCTCCAGATCCTTCCTGAAGATGCCCAGCATTGTGGGGCATTTTAGATATGGCCATACGTGGAATTAAAGGGTTCAGGGTATCCTCTATAGTAATTGGTGTATCATCCTAGAATTTTAGTTTTTCTTACTCTCCTCAAATTGTGCTCCCCTAACCTTGTATTTCACCTTTATTGAAGTTATTTACTACTTTTGGGCCTGTTTTACAAGGCATGTGTAAATTTATCTTTGCCTGACACTTTTCTACCTAGAATAATAGTATCTCAATGGAAATTCCTCCAGTGCTTCTCCACCTTCACTGTGCATTAGAATAGACCTTTTAGCAACTGATAATGCCTGGGCCCCCACCCCAGAGACTGGGGGTGGGGAGAAGCAGTCATTGCTAATACATTGCTTAATGTATTTAAAAAAATGTTTTTAATGTTTATTTACTTTTTGAGGGCAAGAGAGACAGAGCGCACGTTAGCGGGGGAGGGGAAGAAAGAAAGGGAGACACGGAATCTGAAGCAGGCTCCAGGCTCTGCACTATCAGCCCAGAGCCTGACACGGGGCTCGAACCCACGAACCCTGAGATCATGACCTGAGCTGAAGTCGAACACTTAACTGACTCAGCCACCCAGGCGCCCCCATTGCTAATGTATTTTTAAAGCAACTTAGGTAACCCTAGTGTGCAGCCACAGTAGAAAAGCCCACATGTAGGTAATTTATAAATTTACTTCTTTAATATTGGCCCAATCTTTGAGGATCTCACTGTTGACACTTCTGCTTGTAAACTCAGATCCATAAATGCCAACTCTTTTCTAAATTCCCAATTTATGGCAAAACAGTTTTTCCAATTCCTTGCCAGCTCACTTTTTCTAGTACTTGCTGTAATGTCTTGCCTGATGCATTTTTGAAAGCTATTAATCATTAGTTCCTACTCATCCACAAGCTTGTGCTGCCACTCCCACTCACAGCTCTCTCCTTATGTCTACTGGTATGCCAGCACATCCACAGTAAACAGCTTTAATTCTTAAACTGTTGTTGAACGTCATAGGTACTCAGTATGTCTGTATTGTTGACCTGGATTAATCTATCATGATTTTGCCTTATAGATGAGATGCTATCCTTTATCATCAAAGACGACGGCCTGTGCTTTGTTTGCCTCCCCCTGTATTAACCGTATTCTTATTATCTAATCCCTTCCCTTTATGTTCCTGTGTTCTAGTTGCGGCTGCTCACGCCATGGCCGAAGAAAGACGGAATCAGGGTGGTTTTAGCTCTGCATCTCAATCCTCAAATATAAAATCATCATTCAAGCCAGGTATAATTTCTAGAATGCTTTGTGATAGATGTCAAAGTGTCATGTCATTAAAATTTGATATCCTATTTAATGTCTTACTTTTTTCTCTCTTTTTTTGTTTTTAGTCATAGATGGATCTGTCCTTAAAAGTGACACAAGGCAGAGATTGGCGAAGGAGCGCCGAGAAGAAAAGAAAAGACAACAAGATGGTATATTTTAGATTTTTAAAAAATAATCAGAATGAGTGAATTTTCTTGTAAGGTTATGTATTTCCAGAGTCGTTTTGCTTACTTTTCCTGATCTGTTTATATCATAGATTACATTTTTCCTAGGATGTATTATATTGGATTCAATGATTATACTAAGTAAGATAAAGAAGGCCCAAGAAAAATATTTGATTAAATTGTTTAATTTTTGAAGTAGTAAATTCTGTTACCTCCAATTTTCTGAAAACTAAAATATGAAAATTTCAACATTTGTAGAAACCAGAGGAATGGGATTTCAATAAAAATGACCCTAAAAAAGAAAATGAAGTTGCTAATAACCCTAACATACACTTCTTAAGTGTAAATTAGAATCTAAAAGAATATCCTTCTACAACTTAAGGGACTGCTTTTTCAACTGCATTTTTCTCTAATCTTTGAAATCCCCTGACAAAACTTGTGCTCAGCTTCATTCAAATGGATATCATTTGTCTTTGTTTTAATGAGGAGCGGTTTCTTCCTGTAGCTCTTCAGAAGAATATTTTAGAACTGCATAGATGCTCTCCAGGCTTTAGTGATGGGAAATTTGAAGTAGGAAAACATCATGCTGTTCATAATGTGGTACATGACTAAATCCATGATTGTACAACTGGCATGCTGAGTGTGGTCTGCATAGATGAGGCCTTTGAAAGCAGTTTCCTAAGAGAATGAACAAAAACATTCTGCCTATATGTTTTCTTTTTATTTCTTATTTTAATGTATATAGCAGGTTAATCTGGTGGGGCTTAACCTTGGCTCAAATCAGCAGAAATACCACATGAAAGAAAATATTTGTTTTTAATTTGGAATCTTAGTATGGACAGGATATGAGCGGTCACCTAAGCCATCTCAGTTCTCTGGAGTTAAATGAACACCCAGGGCAAATACTTTAGTGGCCGTTCTCTTACACTCACATAATCTTTTGTTATTAGCATAGGTTATGTTATTTTTAAGAGAAGGAGATATATTACCTTTTTCTTTCTTGCGTATAATGTGGAAAAGTTAAATATTTGCTTGGCTCTTAACACCTTGAAAATGTATTTGGAATATTTCAGCCAACAAAGAAACACAACTGCTTGAAAAAGAAAGGAAGTCCAGGATCCAGTATGAAAAACTGATGGAAGAAAAACAACGAAAGCTGAAAGAACAGAAAGAAAAGGATGAACAGCGGAGAATATCCGCAGAAGAAAAAAGGAAACAAAAATTACAGGAGGAAAGGGTATGTATTTTTGTAGCCTGTTAATCAGATGACACACTGTGTTGCCCAGCACCGGACCACTTTTTTCTTAGCCCTTCTGCCTTTACTGCCCCCTCCCCTGCCAAAGGAACCATCTCCAGTTCTCGCTGCTTCCCTTCAGTGGTAGAGCCTCTTGTCCCTGTCGTGTGAGACCCCTGAGTTTAGAACCACTAGCTGATGTAAAAGAGGAGTCTTGCAGGCCCGGGAAGAGAGCCCTTCCACTCTCCCTGACTGACCCTTCCTTCCACTGAGACTCTGGAATTTGTCCTGATAGGCTCCCCATCGTACTTCTCATGGCGGCTCCTCTGACTGCTTGAGTGCAGGCCAGTCAGAGGGGAAGCACACTTCCCATCCGGCCTCCCCTGTCTTTTCTCCTGTGTGCCCCCCCCTTCCTCATCACGCGTCCCCCGCAGTCCCGCTCTTTCCCCTGCCATTCTGTAGTCCTGCTGCTCTCTTTACCTTTCTGGACTCTTGGTGTCTGGCACCCTGTGGGTATGAGTCATTGCCTTAGTAATGCCCTCTATTTCCCCTTCTGTCCCACTTCAGTCAATTTGTCTTTTATTGTCCGTACTTGGGCATCTGGCTACCTGTCTTGTTCTGCCTGATTCTCTCTGACATCAGATTTTTCTCCTGGAGGGTCACTCCACTGCTTTACTCTGAGGATCCTTGACTTCTTGTGAATCTGGCATGTTCTCTGGGAAACCATTCTTTTTCTTGCTGGCATTCTCTCTTTTTCTTTATTCCAGTGATGCTCAAGTGTCCCTAAATCTTAGTCTGTCTTCTGGTTCTCCATCTGACCTTTTTCTGCCTGAGGTGCCTCACTTTTCTTTCCTCTTTCTTTGTCTTAGCTTTTCTCTCTTTTTCTCTCCCTGTCTTTGGGCTTTCTGCCTATTCTCTCTATATGTGTGTTTTTATCTCCCCCTCTTTTCTTCTGTTGCCCTAATTTAAAGTTTTCTTTTTCTGTCCTTTCTTTTTGGTTCCATTTGTCCCCATGAGGCTTCTTCTCTGTGGTGCTCATGTTCCCTCCTTGTGAAGCACAAGGTTGCTCTCACATGCCTCAGCCCCTGCCCCATCTGTGGACCTTCCTTATTCTGGGACTGTTCCCGTGCCATTTCTTCCCCATCCATGGTCCACTCACTACCACTTCTCTGTCTTCTGAACTGTTTTCTGTGGTTGTTTATGCTCTTTTTTCCATATTCCAGAGTATTTGATGAATTCTCCTTCAGAATTTCTATCACTCTCCATCTTCCTCTCTGAAAGAGCTCCTTAATTTGCTTCTGTGGTAAAGAAAAGGAAGGACAGGGATAGATTTGAGCTAAGAGACTGAAAGAAGGTAGAATAGAAAACTGCAGAGTGGGGGAGGGTCCCTGGAGGAGAGAGACTCCCAGGGACTTAGAGAAAAAAAGATCATCTTAGAGAAAGAGGAACCTCACAGAGATCCCAGAGAAAAGAGAATGTAACATAATGGCACTGCAGAGGGGGAGGGAGCCAGAGCTGTGGCAGGAGGAAACAGGAGGAAGGACCAGGAGAAAAGGGACAAAAGAGAATCAACCTCACAAAACTAGTTGGGGGGTGGGTGGCGAGGCAGTTCCCGTGAACAGAGCAAGAAGAAGGAACCCTTGGACACTGAGCAGCCTGCAGGTAGAAAAAGAGAATAATTCCTTAGAGCAGGGAGAAAACCCAGACTCCATGGTGCTGAGGAGGGGTAAGTGTGGACAGACATAGGAGCCAGGACAGGAGCTTAAGTAGGAGCCACAGATGCAACTGGAACCGGAAAGCACAGAGAGCTAGTGCGTTTGGAAGCAGGGGATAGAATTCTCAACAATCAGTGATGTTTGAATAATACAAGACAGATTATGGTTTTTAGTGTTTATTACACTTTCTGGGTTTCTGGTAATTTGAGGCAATTTTCTGTTAGAAAATACCATTTTAAAATATTGCCACTAGATACATTTCATTTTAAGAATTGCAGTTGCTTTTCTCCTCAGGGGATATGGGTGACTCTGCATTTTCCTAGTATGTTGATCTTTTCCCTCAGAGAAACGGTGGGGGCATTATAAGAATGATGTTGCTATGAAACGGTTGTTGTCAGGGAATAATACAAAGCCTCCTGGCCCTGCAGTTGATTTGTTTACCTGAGTACAGTCCATGGTTTGTTACAGCACAAAATTATCTGAGAAAGGAAAACCATGCATGGCTGTGGGGTTGTTTTGTCACAGTGTGGTGTTTACATTTGAAAAGCTGTTCTCCTGAGCAGCTCGATTAAAGTTGAGGTCAAGGGGCACCTGGCTGGCTTAGTCATAAGAGCATGAGCTCCACATTGGGTGTAGAGATTACTCAAATAAAGAAAAATAAAGTTGAGGTCCAGACAAACACCTTGATTATCTTTTTTTAACTTTATTGAGGGATGCCTGGGTGGCTCAGTCAGTTAAGCATCCGACTCTTGATTTTGGCTCAGGTCATGATCTCAAGATTTGTGAGTTCAAGCACCACGTCAGGCTCCGTGCTGACAGTGCGGAGCCTGCTTGGGATCCTCTCCCTCTCTCTCTGCCTCTCCCTTGCTCTCTCTCTCAAAATAAATACACTTAAAAAAAACTATTGATTAACACTAGAACTGAAGATCTTAGAAATGTGGGTATTATAGATGACTCTGGCATAGATTTCACTTATATGTATATTAGTTGATTTTTTTTCTGCCTCATTCTACAAAGAATTTAAGGTTATATATATATTTTAAATTAAGTTTATTTATTTTGAGAGAGTGTGTGTGTATGCACGAGTCGGGGCAGGGGGCCGGCGGGGGAGAGAATCCTAACCAGGCTCTGGTTTGCCAGCACAGAAGCCAACGTGGGGCTCAGTCCCAGGGACTGTGAGATCATGACCTGAGCCCACATCAAGAGTTGGACGCTTAACCGACTAAGCCACCTAGGTGCCCCTCCCAATATTTTTAACTTTTACCTGATGTCCCCTAAAATTTTGCTTGATACAAAAATTTGGTGATGGGATGGTTTTATAATACGTAAAAAATTGTTGGTGTTTATTTTAAATAGGAGAGATTCAAAGCCGATGTCTACCGTACACTGGAACGGAGCAACCGTATTGATCATCGTCAAAAAAGATGGTCGTGGGAAGGCTCTACAACCGTGAACCCTGAGACTAAAAATGGTAATTAATACAGCTGTTAAACTTGAAGTTCATTCATGTTCATATTTGGATATTGGCTATTGCTACAAGGTGGCTTTACAACAAGATTTTGAACTTTGTATCCCAAATGAAAATACTGCCATGTACTCTTTGGTGTGCACAATAAATTTATATTGTAAGATTGCAAAAGAAATTTCATTATCGTTTTATCCATTATATCTAAAATCTTACCACTTAAATTTGTTATCTCTGGAAAAATGATTAATAATAAAGCTTTATACAACTTTATCCAGTGCATATTTTAAAAGTAAATTGCCCCATTTACTATTGAGGGTACTGTACATTTTCCTAAAAATGGGCATAATTTTAGTTTCATAAAACTTAAATCTCTATCATGTATAAGGAATGACCATGAATATTGTGCACCTAATTAATGCACGTCTATACTCGATAGAACTACATCATGAACTCACTTTGTTTCAGCTAATGATGCTTCTTTTAAATCTGAGTACAGTAAATATTATATCTTTTCTCAGCTAATAAACGTTCTGTATCTACTGAAAAACTTGAACAAGAGATTTCCGGTTTACACAAACAAATGCCTATGTCATCTGCAGGTGTTCAGAATTCTGTTGCCAAGAGTAAGTAGTTATTTCACGTGTTCCACAGAATTTTAAACCAATGAAATCAATTCTTTATGTATTTTTTTACAGTACTACTTATCCTTTAGACTGTAGAACATTTAAATTTATTTCAGAAGAGCACCACCTTGTTTTACAGTAGATAGCGATGGTCATTACAGTTTTGGATTTTCATCAGTATTAATCCTTATTTCATGATTTACATATGAATTGTCAGATGGCTTTGTTGGTCTCAGGTAGCCCAAACTACAACATATTTTGACTAAAAGACATTGCCGGTAAGTGGCACAATAATTTGTTATAAAAGTAATTCATATTCTGCCAAACCAGTAAATGAAATTGTTTTTCCTGGAGAGTAGCTAAACTAGTTATTCATTTTCCATTAAGTTTCATGAATATCACCTCGTGTAAGGACAATGTTAGCATATATACTCAACAGACAGGTTGATCTGCTTCACATATATTTGTTATGCATGACAACCTTGTAAACTTGACAGGCAAGTATAATTACCTTCCTGGTTTTATAATTAATACCCCAGGAAATTCAGTGCTTTTCACTCTATCATGCTTGTTTATGGTTTATATTTTGGTCTTTTGATAGATGGATCATGATGTTGAAATTGTACATTTCAATAATAAGCTCATGTTTTCCTCCAAAGCAAATAAAGTGATACCCATGTTTAAGGGGAGAAGCATTGCTAAGCTCCACTTTACAACTCTTCGCAGTGCTAAGGTGGTGTTCTTTAAAAGAAAACAAAGTTATCTAGTATGACTACTTCAAATACCTTTTGCTTCTCGTGTTTTTCTTTTAAAAAAATCTTACCTGAGTGTGTGTCAGTGACCATTTCTGGCTTGTTGCACATGGTGCTCCTCACTGATAATTGAAATGGATTAGGCAGTCATACCCATCAATCAAAAAAAAAATCCTTTCCAGTGACAGAAACAGAAGTGACTTTGGCAGGAAAAAGACATGGCAAACATATTACATCTTCCCACTTTTGTGCCTTATGAATTTAAAAAATGCATAATTATGGTCTGAATTCAAAAATCTTTCTTTTGTTTTATTAGATACCTTGACCTATTTTTGAGCAATGCTATAAAATTCCAGTACAGCAAAAAGATTCTGGATCTCATTAAAGTACTATTAATTGTAGCAGTAGTTAACCTAGTGGAAAAGATTTCCATTTTTATCCAGATATTACAGTTTTAAAATGTTGAAAAGGATTTTTGTTTTGTTCATACTTACATTATGTTATTTATACTTTTAGGACTCCTAATTTCTAACCATGAGCTTGAGACGTCTTTTGTCGTTTGTCAGTCTGTGGTTATCATATTTTCTCTCATAATGGTCTAACAAAAGTTGATCCACTTAACACCCTAACTCTTGATAGGCTTTCCCAGAGCACTTGTGTGTAGCCTGGGTTCATTCGTAGATTAACGTGGGAAGGTTTTCTCTAGTACCTTCCTCGTCATATACTAAATTTATTATTCCTTAGTTCAATCATTGCAGTGTCATATACTTTCATTTTAATATATCTTAATTGTTTCACAAGCATTGACTCTGTTTTACTATCTAATTGCTCTGAGGAGTTAGCAAATATTTCTTCCACAGACACGTATGCCATTTTTTTTAAATTTTTTTTTTAACGTTTATTTATTTTTGAGACAGAGACAGAGCATGAACGGGGGAGGGTCAGAGAGAGAGGGAGACACAGAATCGGAAACAGGCTCCAGGCTCTGAGCAGTCAGCACAGAGCCCGACACGGGGCTCGAACTCACGGACCGTGAGATCATGACCTGAGCTGAAGTCGGACGCTCAACCGACTGAGCCACCCAGGCGCCCCACGTATGCCATTTTTAATATGTGCAAACACTAGTATGCTTTCATTAATAGGTTTACTTGATGTATCAATGAGACTTGTAATGAGGAGGAACAGGTGATGACTTTCAAGGTAATAATTAGTTAAATCGCACTGAAGGAGCAATTCCAAGTAACTTTTTAGATGATTTCTTTACTAGTTTTTAATACAAGAAGGTGTGTGTAGAAGATACTTTTGTGAAATAACTTACTTAAAGGTACAGTATATTGCACACTCTGAGATGATGAATGTTGTGATTAATGATGCCAGGGAAAATAAACCCAGTATTGGCGGTGGCTTACCTTTGTAAAAATCTCTTCAGATTGGAATGAAATCTGTTTGATCCAGAGAGATGAACATTTCAAACTGAAATTAAGTTCATACTGTAATAACCTGTAATGTTTTAAATAGCCCTGTTTTAAAGCTTGGCTGACTCAAATTGTCTGTTTTTCTTCTGCCACTTGCTGACTCAGTAACTGTTCACACTATCTTGTCATTTCTTGCGATATGATGGTAAAGGATATGTGATTTAATCACACGATTGAATTGATTATACCTCTGGATCGTGCTGTTCAGTTACATTATCAGTTCACGGATTTTCAAATGATGCTACGTTGTCAATATGTACAGGTCCCCGATTTAGTTTACAGGTTCCCAAAAGAGAAGTTATTCTTAAAATTTTTTAAATGTTTATTTCTGAGAGAGAGACAGAGCACCAACAGGGGAGGGGCAGAGAGAGAGGGAGACCCAGAATCCGAAGCAGGCTCCAGGCTCTGAGCTGTCAGCACAGAGCCCCATGCGGGGCTTGAACCCACAAACCGTGAGATCATGACCTGAGCCAAAACCAAGAGTCAGATGGTTAACTGACTGAGCCACCCAGGAAACCCAAGAAGTTATTCTTTAAACAGACATTCCTCAGTATTCTGAGCCAGAACATTTCAAGTGAAATGGAAAAGTGTCTACACAAAGCATGTTTTTCATTAGGTTGCTAAAATCGCGACATCTATGCCAAATGTTAACGATCATTTTTAAAAAGTTTAAAGCCATAATCGTTATAACTAAAGTATACATTACTTTAGTAACAGATATCATGGATTGTGTCTAAAATTTAAAATGAATGTTTCTAATTTGGGAATATTGATCTTGTCAGGTAGTATTAGACATTTTCCTCTTAATTTTTACTGTTTTTTTTTTTCTAAATACTTTTATTTCAGATAACTTAGAGTAAATTAGTTTTAAGGTTGGGGATGTAGAATCTCTACACAAGATTTGAAATTTAAATAAATTCTTTTTTTTTAATTTTTTTTTTGAACATTTATTTATTTTTGGGACAGAGAGAGACAGAGCATGAACGGGGGAGGGGTAGAGAGAGAGGGAGACACAGAATCGGAAACAGGCTCCAGACTCTGAGCCATCAGCCCAGAGCCCGACGCGGGGCTCGAACTCACGGACCGTGAGATCGTGACCTGGCTGAAGTCGGACGCTTAACCGACTGCGCCACCCAGGCGCCCCTAAATTTAAATAAATTCTTATAAGCAAGAGTAAAGAAGATAAAAAATGTTTGAAAAGAGGAGTTGACTCCTAAAATAATATAATTATAAAATTATTATATATAATATATATAATATATAATTAAAATTGTAATTATAAATATAAAATTATAAAATAATTTATAAAAAATAATTTTCCTTTGCCCTTGATCTCCAGAAACAACAGAAAAGAGAAGTTCGTCTTTGAATAGAAGATCTAACAAACTGCAGTCACCTATGGAAACAGAAAAAGTAGAAGAAAAACCAGGTGGTTAGTTATTTTGTTTTTAATTTTTTTTTAATATTTATTTCTGAGAGAGAGAGAGAGAGAGAGACAGACAGAGCACGAGGAGGGAAGGGGCAGAGACAGAGAGACAGAATCCGAAGCAGGCTCCAGGCTCTGAGCTGTCAGCACAGAGCCCGACGTGAGGCTTGAACTCACCAACCACGAGATCATGACCTGAGCCGAAGTCAGACACTTAACCGACTGAGCCACCCAGGTGCTCCCAAGTACCAGTCTTAAATAGTGGCTTAAAAGAGATCTGTTTATGTCAACATTTCGTTGCTTGAGAAGTTGTTCCTAAAACTGGAAGCCAAAATATCCCTTAACGTTTGGCTGAAGCCAAGAGTCTGTCTTTAAATGAAATATGTAATTCTGCCATCATGTGAGCAGGAGGTCTGTAATGAAGCTGAGAGACTAGATCGCAGAGTGTTGGTGTAGGTATAGATTTGTGTCGGAGGACTTGATGCTCTTCAAATACTTGATGAGTTTGCGTTTAGAAGTTCTAAGTATTGGCCATAATTTGAACTTAAAAGCTTTGTTCTGTTGCTTCATGGCATTACTCACATCTAACCTTTGTACATGTTTGAACTGCTGATTATTATACAAAAAAATTCATACTTATTACTGAAGTACTTCTTTATTTAAAGTTTCTTTCTAATACCTTTCCTCTCCTTTTCTCTGTCAAACACAATTGTTGCTTTTTGTTTCTACCAAACCATTCACTTACAGAATGCTCTCCAGTTTGTTGATTAGGGTCAAATCCCATTATAACAAATGCCATTGTCACAGGGATATTTATGAACATAAAAATTTATTGGAGCAAGATATTTAGAAGATGCACTTTTAACAGAAGAATTCAGTCAGTCCCTTGGAGCTTTTGGCAATGAATCTGACCAGAGTAGGATTGTCAGTGGCAGATATGTGTGGGAATCCATGTCAAAGGCGTTTTGCGTGATAGACATATGCGAGCTCCTCTGCAGAGACTCCATATGTTGGCTAGGACTCTGTTAAGTATGCTACCTAGATTTCTTCACTGGGGTTATTATGTATCCTGGGGGCCTTTGGTTCCTTCCTCAGTGCTCTCTTCCCCAGCAAGGCAGTCTCCGCTGGCAGGTTCATTCCCGTCCTGGATGTATTGCTCTCGTTGCCTCTACTTCCAGGCTGGGCAAGTTCTCATTTGCAGCAGTTCACGTTGCTCTTTGTTGCTTTGCATTTATTTGTGAGACCTCAACTATGTCTGTTCTCCTCATTCAGCTCGTCACCAGCATACCAGTCTTCGGGAGAATAATTTAATCAGCCGCCTGCTGGTCCCAACAAAAGCTTCAATAGCCAGGAGCAAAAGTGCTGCTTCATTGTTGGTCCCTGGAAAAGAAACCCCAGGTAATAGGCATAGGGCAGAAAGCCTGAAAGTGTTAGTATTTGCACTTAAAAAGCAGGTTGTATCATTTAATTGGTTGCAGTAAGGCATAAACATAATTTGAATCAGTGGTTTCCAAATGACTGATTTTACCCAACAGTTTTATATTGCATGTTTATTTTATGCCTTCTAGCCTGGTAGATTAGTTATCTGGGTAATGGGCAATTTATAGGATGAGATAGGTAATTATGGTGGTTGTTACACTTTTACATGATTTTTTAAAAGATTTTTTAAAGTGATCTTTACACCCAACGTAGGGGGCTCGAACTTAGAACCCCGAGGTCGAGGGTGGCATGCTCTTCCAACTGAGCCAGCCAGGCACCCCTAAGTTTTTAAAAGCTCTATGGGTTTCTCAACCTGTGCTTAAATGTGTCACAGCACTGTAAGAAGTACTGGATGTTAAAAGTATCTGGAAACTTACAATATAGAGGGAGAAAGTTTTCTACCTCACCCAACTTTTTTTCCTAAAATATGGAAGAGTAACACTGATCTGCTCTTTAGCTTTTAATTAAGGACATAAAGATTGTTAGTAAAGTAAGAACAGTCTTCAGGCTTAGGTGGATTTTCTCACTTGCAGGTCACGTAAAGTGTCAGACATGCCTGTGGAGGGTAAAATGCACTGTTCCCATCATTCTTTTCTTTCTTTTTTCCTCCACTTTTTTTCCCCAGAATTTACCCCAGCACCTTTGTTTTTTTCTTCTGTTGTTATTCATAGGATTAGTAAAATAAATCAGAATGCTGTCATAGACTTTCTGGTAGTGCAGCTTTAGTTCTTTTGGTTCCAATTGCTGAATTTGTTTATGCCTCATAGGATGTCAGATTATTTTCTGCCACTCTCCCTCCAGTCTACTGTAAGATATTTCTTTTATTGCTTTTATTTTTGTTTAATATTTTACTTCCATTGAAAATGCAGTATCTTATCTTAAATTTCTATAGCTAATAGAAATCTAGTTATTACATTTAATATGTTTTCTTAGTGCAAACTGTCAATGTTAAATCATGTGACTGTTAGGTACATACAATATGTAAATATAATACTTTTTCCACCAAAATGAGGGCCTAAAAACATTTAACTTAGTCACATTTTTTATTCATGAGTCGTCAGTCTTTGGTAATTTGTTCTATTTTGGTTATTTGATGAGATCATGTAAAAGTTTACAGAGGAAGTGACAGATTTACCAAGTCTTAAGAAAGCTATCACCAAATACTTTTTAAAAAACAGTTACTTTTCGGGGTGAGGGCGCCTGGGCAGCTCAGTTGGTTGAAGCATCTGACTCTTGATTTCAGCTCAGGTCATCATCTCACGGTTTGGAATTTTGAGCCCCGCTTGGGATTCTCTCTCTTTCCCTCTCTCTGCCCCTTCCCTGCTCATGCTCTCTCTCTCTCTCTCAAAATAAATAAATAAAACTAAAAAATTTAAAAACAATATTTACTTTATTAATCAAGCAATGCATATTTAGTGTAGAGAAAATTTTAAATATAATTTACTATTATCCCAATAGCCCACTCATGACTGAATATTTGTTTATATATTTTCTTCACAAGATAGGGTTATAATCTGCTTTTGTTTAATCTGGATATATATCCTTTTCTATGTCCAGAAATTGTATATTAATACTCTGAATGACTGTCAGTATTATCTAAATTTCCTGGGGCGCCTGGGTGGCGCAGTCGGTTGAGCGTCCGACTTCGGCCAGGTCACGATCTCGCGGTCCGTGAGTTCGAGCCCCGCGTCAGGCTCTGGGCTGATGGCTCAGAGCCTGGAGCCTGTTTCCGATTCTGTGTCTCCCTCTCTCTCTGCCCCTTCCCTGTTCATGCTCTGTCTCTCTCTGTCCCAAAAATAAATAAACGTTGAAAAAAAAATTAAAAAAAAAATAGATAAAAAATAAATTTCCTGTTGAATATTCGGATTATAGTTCTCATTGTTTCAATATTATCAATAATGCTATAATAAGTAACCCTTATTGCATACATTTTCATATCTGATTTTTTTTCTTAAGGATAGACCTAGAAGTGAAATTGTGGCAACAAAGACTATGAACTTTGTAATGGCTTTTGATACATTATTGCCCCAATCCCCCCTACCAGGAACATGTGCAAATCCACGACCTCACCAGCAGTGTGGGGCTGCCTCTTTCCCAACGTTGCTATTACCACTTTCCACCTTCTTTGCTGGTACCGAGTATTACCATTTTTATCCATTTATTAGGCAGAAAATATTTAGATTGTGAAATCTGGAAGAGACCTTGAAAATCCAGCCCGTTCTGATTAATGTGTTATTATAGTTTTTATTATGGGTGAGAAAATGCTCTTTTTATATTATATTCCAAAATAGCCATATATAGAATTTCTTGCATAATCACTTGTAATCGTAAGATCCCTGGCCCTGGTTAAGTTGTTTTAGATTACTTTTTTTTTTAATTTTTTTTTTTCAACATTTATTTATTTTTGGGACAGAGAGAGACAGAGCATGAACGGGGGAGGGGCAGAGAGAGAGGGAGACACAGAATTGGAAACAGGCTCCAGGCTCTGAGCCATCAGCCCAGAGCCCGACGCGGGGCTCGAACTCACGGAGCGCGAGATCGTGACCTGGCTGAAGTCGGAATCTTAACCGACTGCGCCACCCAGGCGCCCGTTTTAGATTACTTTTAAAAAGTGTTGGACATCTTGTAATGTTTTATGAAAATCACTCAACCGTAGTATGATTAAATGAGAAATGGCAGGGAGCCTGGGTGGCTCAGTCAGTTAAGCATCCTACTCTTGATTTCGGTTCAGGTCGTGATCTCACGGTTCGTGGGTTCCAGCATCGCGTCTGACTCCACGCTAACAGCATGGAGCCTGCTTGGGTTTCTCTCTCTCTGGCCCTCCCTTGCTCACGCGCATGCTCTCACTCTTGCTCTCGCTCTCAAACTTAAAAAAAAAAAGATAAATAGCTTATTGCAAACATCAACTTGGGAGACGCGTCTTCTTCATCTATAGTAGACTGTTGCTTTCACGACGCCTCTTGATGGTGGCACTTCTGAAGTACCAACTTTGTGATACTTTTGTTCTGTGTCTGTGATCCATTTCGCTAAATGCTTCTGTGTTGGGCGTAATCCCTGCAGTTTCCTAATAAACACGGTCTCTTTTCTCTCTTCCTGTTCTTCTACTGTTAACAAGGTGTGTTTCTGCCTTGTTGTCAGGTTGCTAAGTGTAGAGAATTTCATTCTGCCCTCATTCACCCACAGGCAACCGCTATCCTGTACTACAGTATGTGACCATGCCCCTGCGTGTCTATAGCAGTGATGAATTGAAGAATACCATAGTGCTTCGCAAGTCAGCAATGGCTGTGCCTCCCCAGGAGAAAGTGGGAGCACTCCCCAAGGCGAAGGTGGAAGCGCCCCCCAAGGCGAGCACGAGTATGGAAGTGGCCTCCAATGTGAATGTGGGAGCGATCCCCAAGGTGAGTGTGGAAGTGGACCCCGAGGCGAACATGGAGGCGGCCCCCGAGGTGAATGAAGCAACCCCCCAGGCAAGCATGGAAGGGTCCCCTGAAGGGAGTGTGGAAGCATCAGTTCAAGCAGGTGCGGAAGCACTCCCTGATAGCGTGGAAACATCCCCGGAAGTGAGCGTGGACATGTCCCTCGAGGTGAGCGTGGACCCATCCCCCGAGGTGAGCATGGACTTGTCTCTCGAGATGAGCACGGATGCGTCCCCTGATGGGAGCATGCAAGTGTCATCTGAAGCAAGCGTGGAGGCATCTACCAAGGCTGGTATGGCAGCGTCCCCCAAGGCTAGTGTGGAAACGCTCCCCGAAGAGAGTGTGGAAGCATCCCCCGAGGCCTTCCTGGAGGTGAGCGTGGAAACATCTTCCAAGGTGAAAGTGAGAGATTTTCCACAGGTTTATTAAGTGCCTTTTATTGCCCAATTTTCTGTTAAAATCTGTGTATTTAGTTGTGTAGGTCATGATAGGTCAAGTTTCACAACATAAGCAAGTTCTTAGATAGCATTCTGCAATAAAATCAGTTATATAGGATAAGCCACTTTAATGATTTAAAATGATGATACTCGTACCAGTTTCCCCTCAAAGCTGGAATATTAGTTTTTAGTAGAAAGGAGGAAGTATAACTGTTACAGGAACTATTTCTAAACTGAAGAAAAGTTCAAGAAGAAATATTATAAACCTTTAATTAGGATTTAGAAATAGAATCAGGTTTTGAAGGGAAAGATTTGTTTTTAATTATTTCTGTGAACTTCTTGAAATTCGTAATCTGAATTGTTAGTCTAGAAGAACATACCTGTGTGTAATTCTCATGCTTGAAAAGCTCCTTTTAAGGAGTTAAATTGTATTATATGTTCAGGGTATGTTGGTCTTAAAAAGGCAAGCCATCTGCAGAAAGGTAAATGCTGATCTCTTAATCTGACTGTATTGGCTCTGTTCAGAAACCAGAAATGGACAAACAGGCCTCCAACCCTGGTACAAAGAAGCGCCCATCGTCACACATACCATGTTATAAATGGCCATCTTCTCCTGCAAGTGGGCGGCGCCCACCCTCTCCCATCAGTGTTAAGTAAGTAGCTTAATTGCAACTGTTCCTGATAGGTGTTTTACCAGGATAAATGTCACATCAGTGTTTCATAAAGGAAATAATGGTAGTATGCATTGTAAATAGGAAAAAATCTTCAAAAATGGACTGACTTCTGTTAGAAAATATCTCCTAGTACCAAGACATTATATTTTATGAAATGGCACATTATAAACTAATGTGTTTACTTTATTTGTACACATATCTACTACAAAACCGTATCCAACTTCCCCCACTAATGGTTACTTTTTCTCAGCAGGCAAATGCAGAAGAATCGCCCCCCGTCCCCATCACCTGTCAGGTCAAAACAGTCACAACCTTCCCTTTGTTACAAAGTAATTCCTGTTCAGCGTAACCTACTTGCGCAAAATGTGTTAGGTACTCTTGGAAAGAAAAGAGAAGCAGTTCCTAAAACCACTAGCAGCTCTGAAGCTGTGAGCCAAAAGCAGACGGTCTGTGAAGGTAAGTTCCTTCACTGAGAAGTTTATTTTGGCAACACGGGAAGTCTTAAGGTAGTTAGAAATGGTCACCTTTGTTTTATTCCCCAATTCTGAGAACTTTAGGGTGTAAGCTTTCTTTTGATGAAGAGAATTTAGCCAGTCATTGGCACACTGCTTACTTTTCCTTGCCAGAGCTTCTTCCCCCCACCCCCTTGTTGCAGAAAATCCATTTTTGGAACTAATGTTAAAAGTACTGATTAGATGAGTGCATTGCTGTAGGTGATCCCTAGGGGTCCCTTCCAGCTCTGATAGTGGATGGTTCTGTGAATGGCCCTAAGGTATTGTCCATCTTTGGGGAGATCACATCTGGCCATGTGTGGCTGAGTGGATTTCCATCAGGAGCTGAAGGTCCGTTTCCACACATACACCATAACGTGTCTGAGCAGTATGTGGGTTCCTAAAAGTCCCATGTTGGCATTTTGCCTGTGACATGTTCTTAATGTCCATAGACATTATTTTATTTTATTTTATTTTACTTTGTTTTTTTGCCATTATTTAATTTTAAGTACACTAGTAAATTTTGCTTTTTGAAGGAATTCCACAGTGATTTCTTTATGACAGGAATAATAATTTTATTGCAAATTATTCATTCCTGATGTCTTAAGATCCTCATTTTCATATGTTATTTACTCATTTATTTTTAAAGTGATTTATTTTGAGAGAGTGAGAGCGCTTGGGAGGGGCAGAAAGAGAAGGAGAGAGAGAGAATCCCAATGTGGGGATTCGAGAGAAGCCCCGATGTGGGGCTTGAACTCATGAACCACGAGATCTTGACCTGAGCTGAAATCAAGAGTCAGATGCTTAACTGACTGATCCATCCAGGCACACCCCAATATGTGATTTATTTAAAATAGTCATCACATGGGGCACCTGGGTGGCTCAGTTGGTTGAGCATCCAGCTTCAGCTCAGGTCATGATCTCACAGTTTGTGTGT